CTAGATCCCTTTATGCTTGTCACTTAATCATTTGAACATTTTTACATTTAGAATATTACTCCTACATCTTATGACATTTGTGCATGTATAACACGTAACCCATTTTCATTAATATCTATTAATATAACAGTTAAAAAATTTAATTTTATCCTAATAAAAAATTATAATTTTATATTACCCTTTATTTTATAGGTTCAATATACTATACAGTTCAAAATCTAGTTTATCATTTGAATGTCTAATAAAATATAAATATTTATATAATATTTTTCATATTACCTTTTATATAAATATCTACATTTTATTAGACATTCAAATGGTAAGCTTGATTTTCAACTTTAGAGTATATCGAATCCACAAAATAAAAGGTAATATAAAATTATAATTTTATATTAGGATAAAATCATATTTTTTAACGATTATATTACTATATATCAACGAAAAGTGGTTATGTGTTACACATGCATAAACGTCATGAGATGTAAGGAGAATATTCTAAATGTGAAGGAGTTCAAATGATTAAGTGACAAANGCTTCATGAGATGTAAGGGGAATATTCTAAATGTGAAGGAGTTCAAATGATTAAGTGACAAACATGAGGGGATCAAGGTATAATTTATTAATTTAATTTTAGGTGCACATTGATACAAATTTCTATCTTTGAATGTGCAAATTGAGATTTTTTATCTTTGGGGATGCACATTGATACAAATTTCTATCTTTGAGGGTGCAAATTGAGATTTTTTATCTTTTGGGGTGCACATTGATACAAATTTCTATCTTTGAGGGTGTAAATTGAGATTTTTGATCTTTGAGGATACAAATTGAGATTCGAATAATCTTTCGGGGTACAAAATGAGATTAACCCTTTTTGTTTTGGGTAAAATACGTTCTCAGTGTCCACGTGTAGTGTTTATTTGTTCTCACTCTTCTAATTTGTTTATTTGAGTTCTAAAGTTTTTAATTTGTATTTAACGGATCTAATTTGTTGACTTAATTTACTGTGATATTTAGATTGACTATGGAGCCATCAAACTTTAAAACTTGGTGTTGATTTAATGATTCTTTTAAAGGCACATCATTATATCATCAAATTAGATCAAATTTTTAGGTTCAAATAGTATTACCCTTATATTTGTATAATCCAATTCTAAATATCCATCAAAAATCATAATGATTTTGGTTTTGTGCCAATNGCCAATGGGAAGTGGCGTCTCTGTGTCGACTTCACAGAACTGAACAAGGCATGCCCAAANTTAGGATAAAATCATATTTTTTAACGATTATATTATTATATATCAACGAAAAGTGGTTATATGTTACACATGCATAAGCTTCATGAGATGTAAGGGGAATATTCTAAATGTGAAGGAGTTCAAATGATTAAGTGACAAACATGAGGGGATCAAGGTATAATTTATTAATTTAATTTTAGGTGCACATTGATACAAATTTCTATCTTTGAATGTGCAAATTGAGATTTTTTATCTTTGGGGATGCACATTGATACAAATTTCTATCTTTGAGGGTGCAAATTGAGATTTTTTATCTTTTGGGGTGCACATTGATACAAATTTCTATCTTTGAGGGTGTAAATTGAGATTTTTGATCTTTGAGGATACAAATTGAGATTCGAATAATCTTTCGGGGTACAAAATGAGATTAACCCTTTTTGTTTTGGGTAAAATACGTTCTCAGTGTCCACGTGTAGTGTTTATTTGTTCTCACTCTTCTAATTTGTTTATTTGAGTTCTAAAGTTTTTAATTTGTATTTAACGGATCTAATTTGTTGACTTAATTTACTGTGATATTTAGATTGACTATGGAGCCATCAAACTTTAAAACTTGGTGTTGATTTAATGATTCTTTTAAAGGCACATCATTATATCATCAAATTAGATCAAATTTTTAGGTTCAAATAGTATTACCCTTATATTTGTATAATCCAATTCTAAATATCCATCAAAAATCATAATGATTTTGGTTTTGTGCCAATCATGTAGAACGAAATGGCACGTGATCAGAACCGTCATGAATTTTTTACCGACATTTAAGATTTGACCGCTTAAATATAAATTAAAAATTTTAGGGATCAAACAAATATAATTGAAAGAGTAAATACCAAATAAACATTAAGTACATACTTTTAGGGCTAAAAATATATTTACCCTTTTGTTTTTCATTTAAAAAATACAATTCCATCGATGGCACATAAAGTTTCTTAATTAATTAAATCTTTCTATATCGAATGATTAGTGATAATCCGAGTCCAAATATACAATGCAATGCTAAAATCGAACATTGATTTTACATTTTAAATTGTAATTTAGTTTTTTTAATTATCAACTTAGAATTAAAGTAAGGAAAGAGAAAAAAAAAAGGTAAGTCTGTATTGATGAGATTATTTGATATCGATGAGTGTATTGATTGAATTATTTGACATTAGGAGCCGTGCAAATAAATTATATTCTTAAGCAAAAAAAAATTATAATAATTTTTATATTATTTAATAAAAATTCGATATTAATTTTGACCGTTGGACCACTCGCTAGTCCCACTTAGTGGCTGAAGAATTTCTTTTTTATTGGAATTGATATTTTCCTATAAGATCAAAAGGTCAAAAAAGAAAGATAAAAATAATTTATTTTATGATAAGGTCTTGGTGACTCGAGTTTAATTTAAAGAGGCCCCCACAAATAAGAAAATACATTTGTTCGACCGGATTTATAACTCTTTTTTTTTTCTTTTTTAAAAGAGTGCAACACAAGGACTTCACAGGAGATCACTCATTCTAGTACTACTATCTCAATCACACTCACAGTTATTGTTTCTTTTTGCTAAGAATTTTTAGGACATGTTCTATTTTTATTATTATTATTATAACATTACAGCATTAGAATTTATAATTAATTTAATAATTGTGTTGAATTAAGTTCCTAATAAGTTACTTATAGCATTGTTCATATATAAAAATAGAGTAACTTTGTACCTTAGTTTTTTTTTTTTTTTCAACGGCTAAAGCACGAGCATAATAGGTGAATATTATCTTATACCAGTTTAAATTGAATATTATAACTTGTTTTTTTAAGGTATGGAATTGGATAGTGTGACATTTTGTCAGTAATATAATTAAACAAAAAATTTTCAATTTTCGAGAATTTTATAAATAAAAAGAAGTAAATGGGACCAGTCAGATGATTGGCCCAATCAATCATGTGGTTGGTAGGTCAACTATAGAAAAGAAAAATATATGTATTACGGATCTAAATCGACCAGAAAATGTTGCTGCACCTACCACAAGATTGATTGGGTCAATCACATAACTAGTACCACAGACTTAGCTACCAAAAAAAATAAAAATAGTAGCCTTTTTTTTTAAATTACAAGATTTTTTTATTTTTTGTCAAATAATCATTATTAGAGGAAGGAAAACGATAAGATTTGAACTTAGAATCTTAAAGTCTAACAGTAGGACAGTGACTATTAACTTAACCACCAACTTCTATCTAGTATAAGATAAAATTAGCTAAGGTTGTTCGTGCTTTAAACATTGATTAACGGATAAGTGCTTTATACTATAAAAATGTAAATCACAATAGCTGCAGTGCTTACAATTGGTGGTCTTAAAACAAGTGCAGTCATACCCAAATATAGCAAGCTCATATGTATCGAAGTGCATTAACAGTAGCCGTTAACACAGAGAAATTGATCTCTATTACTGGTTTTTATTTTAGTAATGGATGTCCAAATTTGAGTGGCCGCTTTTAGATATGACCATTAAGAGTCTCTAATAAATTCTTTATTCTTACACAATTCTCTATATTATTTTTAATGAATGAAAAAATAATACATTTATATTTTTCATTAAATGTTATTGACTATAAATATTATTATCTTACNCCGTTCTCCAAGTCTTCCTCAGCACGGGAAACTCTCTCCTTAGCAGCCGTCAACTTTGCCTCTGCAACAGCTGCCTCTCTGAGCATGGCCCTCCCATGGGCCTCTACAAGCTCAGCCTCTCTGAGCGTGCTCCTCTCGTGGACTGTCAAAAGCTCAGCCTCTAGCTTAGTGGCCCTCTCATGGGCTGCAACAAGCTCACCATCCCTGAGCGCGCTCCTCTCGTGGACAGCCAAAAGCTCAGCCTCTAGCTTAGTGGCCCTCTCATGGGCTGCAGCAAAGCTCACCATCCCTGAGCGCGTCCCTCTCGCGGGCTGCCAGAAGCTCGGACTCTAAATTAGAAAACCTTTCATGTGCTGCCACAAGCTCACCCTCCCGGAGCACGTCCCTCTCACGGGTCACCAAAAGCTCAGAATCAAGCTCGACAATCCTCTCCTGAGCAGTAATAAGCTCCCTCTGCACAAGGCTAAGATCCAGCTTCAGCTTGTCTTGATTATAGGCCCTCGAAAGCAAGCAGATGGAGGAAGTCGAAACCTAAAAAAAAAAAAAANAAATCAAAAGACTATATAAACATACTCAAACATGTGATATAAGACATTCAGCCCGCAATAGTGTACAATTCCTCTACTGATTAAGGGGGAGTTGCAATCTTAGCTAAATGGCACCACCAGATCAGCAATCCCCACCAGACCCGTTACCTAGTTATGTTAGACAGACCAAAAAAAAAAGGGTCAAATAATAAATTCATTTGGAGTTGACCTTTTTAGGTGCGAAAAATAAAATAAAAAAATCAAAGTTAAAAAAATTTCTTGAAACCGTTTGTAGGGTTTCCAAAAAAACCGACTTTTCCTCGTAAGCCATCGGATAAACTCCATTTTACAACTTTTCCTTGGTGTTTATAAAAGCAATTTTTGCCCAAAAAGTTAATAAAAAAGCCACCGAATAAGCCGAAGTCCAAACAGATTAGACATTTTTTTCTCTGAAACCAAAAAAAAAACTGGGAATATCAGAACTAATAAGAGAAGAGAATATCAGAGTTATGTTCAGGAAAAGAATGAGATACTGGCGTTACAAATTTGAAAGCAAATTAATCAAAATCAAATCCTGCTATTTTTGAATCATTAATCTATTGTTAATGATGATTACATACAAAAGAATACTTCAGCGTGTACACAACCCAAGCAAGTTGGATTCGATTATCAACACTTCAACTCCAAAAACACTGAAAAAATGGTAGATACGGCAGAAAAATAACAGCTCAAAGCTTTGCTCTGAAAGATGAAAACCCTGCAGGTTGCAAGAGTAACACAAAAAAGGGCAACCTAACTGGACTGTGCTGTACCTTGCTTTTGTTTAGGAAGTAATAGTGCTCGTTTAGAGGCCAAAATTGCACATCTGCACGAACTCCATTTCATAATCAACATACTTAGTCCAGAGATGCTTGAATTGGTTCATAGCAATGTCGAGCCAAGGTTTCATCTTTCCATTGAATTGGATGACAGCAGCATTATTGATCTCATCCATACTAATACTAGGATTGTACCCAAGCCCAAGAACATGCCATGATTTGTCCAATGACTTCGTCGTCGAGTAGAAGGTGATCAGGCCAGGTGGGAGTGTCCCCAATTTCCATAAAGTCCGATCATCATTCTGATGAAAAATTTATCAAAAAAGAACAAATTAGACAAGAATATATTCTGTTCTGAAGCTAGACTTAACCCTTCCAACAACCAGAAGCAAATGCATCAATACTAAAGTGATTAAAAAAAATAAAGTAGCAGTTAAGCAAAGACAAAATACCAGGTTCTGCCAATAATGATATTGCTCGGTGCATTTCTCATGCCTCCAAGCATCAAGATTGAATATATTCATCCCATAAGCCCAAGCACAAGCCTTGGGATTAAACCTCCCCCTAATAAGAGGGTGAGAGAAGTTCAAATACTGTGCATAACAGTGGAATGACCCAAAGCATGTCTCGACAGCACCATTCACTTTCCCGTTCATATCAATTTGCCACAAAACAGTCAAATCCTTCTGAACTACAACATCATCATCCAGAAACAAAATCCGGTGCAGCTTCGGATACATTTCTGGCAAGTAAAATCGAAGGTGATTTAACATTGACAGGTACTTGGGGTTCNGTTATCTACACCACCGAAGGAAACGATCCAATCTTTGACCACGTTCCATGAAGAACCCCCAACCTCCTCCTTACGTTGAGGATAAGTCGTGATCTCCACCAAGGATAATCTCTGAGCTGCGATAAAGAAGCCTTGAGGATATGTCATGATCTCCAC